CGTGCCTGCTCTCATCTATAGAGTGGCGAAGTCCCTCCCCTTCCGGTGGACCTCCATGGGACCTTATTTCGGAAAAATTATGTATTGAAGTCAACGGCGAGAGAAAAGTTATCTTTCGATCCTGTTTGAATTGTGCCACAAATTACACATATGATGTTTGTCAATTTAAAAGATAAGTTTGCAAGTAAAAAAAAAAAGGTTTTGCCGTAAAACTTTGAAGTAACACTTTTGTGTGTGAAACCGCTCAATGAACTACATCTCTGGTCTCGCACAACAACACACGTCACCAAGATGGCCGTCACTACTGTCTTGCCAAACTATCACTATCACCACAATGAAACCAGAGCTGCCAACATTTGAGTTCAGCTCGGAGTGAGATTTTTTTTTTGGTGAACCGAAAAAAGAAACTTTCATGTGTACAGTGTTACAAATGTATTGAACATGTACAAACTAGGGTTTCCCATTAATGTACCGGGCTCTACAGTGGATTACGCACGTACACAGTGTACCCGCAACTCTTACAATGAAGGCTCGATAATCAGCTCACGGCATATAAAATGGCATATAGGTGTAAGCAGAGGTAAAGTGCTATTTTATAAGTGGGGGGGGGGTCCTCACCTCCGGGGAGCATGCCCCCGGACAAAGATTTTTGTTTTAAATATTGAAGTTAAATGCATCAACCTGGTGCATTTTGAGAGCAAAATGAATTTATGGTAAACAGATTTTCTTTTTCTTTATGGATATTTTACAAATCACTCGCCTTTTAAACTGTATTCTTGTTTTACTGTCACATAGTAGGCCTATTTCATAACTGTTTTTCATTTATTCTCATAAATGGTGACCAAAACGTTTGAGACCCACTGAGATAACTAGACTAAAGTTAACTATCTAAACAGAGAGTCCCTTACCTCACTGAGCTGTAGTTATCTCTCTCAGTCTGACAGGGCAGAGCTCTCCCTCTCATTGTTTTAGAAACAGCTTCTAATATCCGTTAAGCTAACCAGATGCTAACAACAACAATGCAAATAGTGAGTTTGGTAGAAATATACTGTATAATAATAACGTTATTTAAGATGATGCCATATTTATTGAAGATTTTACATTATAAATATTCCCCAAAATTATTCAAAAGCATATTCTTCCAAACTCCTTGCTGTAGTATGACACACAGGAGACTATTGATGTGTGTAGTGAGTTTGGTAGTAATACACTGTATAATAGTGATTGAATATTATTGTATTCTCTTTTTTGGGAGTTGCACTTTTCAGACGGTCCCTGAGCACTCGTTTCTTCTCCAGCTGCAGATAGAGACCAATGTAATGTGTCCAGCTCGGAGGACGGCGCGTATTGGCTTTTTATTTGATCAAAATGTGATTGTAGTTCGTTGTCAACCTTACCACGGTACTTAGGAGACGTCATTTGTGTCTGAATAACGTTTTGTTCATGAGTTATTGATCCGTGAAATCAGAATCTCCCAATATCGTTCCAATTTTACTGAACTAAGCCAGAAGACCGTCTCATTTCGTAGAACGCTCGGTTTGCTGTTCCTTCACTTTATTTTTATATTTATATAGGCCTACATTAAAAAAAACTGGCGTCTTCCCTGATGCCTTTAAAACAGCTGTTGTAAAGCCTCTATTAAAGAAACCTACATTGGATAACAACACAGTAGCAAACCACAGACCAATATCAAATCTACCATTTATCAGTCAAATATTGGAAAGAATTGTCTCAGTCCAAATCAATTCCTATCTTAAAGAAAACAACATCTTAGAAGTGTTTCAGTCAGGTTTCAGAAGATACCACAGTACGGAAACTGCACTCACAAAGGTAGTTAGTGACATCAGACTCAACTCTGATGCAAATAACATCTCAATCCTTATCCTATTAGATCTCAGTGCAGCTTTTGATACTATTGATCACAACATCCTAATAAATCGACTTGAAAAGCTTATTGGTTTCTCTGGCTGCGTGCTGAACTGGATCAAAACATATATCAGAGGAAGGATGTTCTATATTAGTCTAGGAGGCCATACATCAGAGAAACATGAAAGCCGCTACGGGGTTGCACAAGGGAGCTGTTTAGGTCCATTACTCTTTTCTCTCTACTGTATATGTTACCGCTCGGCGACATCATCAGAGAGTATGGTATAGATTTCCACAGCTATGCGGATGATACACAATTGTACATATCTGCTGAACCAAATGATGTGACAGCCATAAACTCCATTACCAACTCCCTGACAGCAATAAACAAATGGATGAACGATAACTTTCTTAAATTGAATGAGGACAAAACTGAAGTCCTACTTGTTGGCCCCAAATCAAAAAGAGAGATGCTAACAAATAATCTAGGAAGCTTAACCACTTGGATTAAACAAGTCTCGGTGTCATCCTGGACTCAGATTTGAACTTCAACGCCCATTTAAACAAAGTGACCAAAATAGCTTTCTTTCATCTCAGAAACATAGCGAAGGTAAGACCATTCATAAATCAAAATAATGCAGAGAAGCTAATTCATGCTTTTATATCTAGCCGACTAGACGACTGCAATGCACTATTCACTGGTCTCCCCAAGAAAGCTATTGGAAGACTCCAGCTCATTCAAAACTCTGCAGCTAGACTACTAACGAATACCAAAAGGAGGGAACACATTAGTCCTGTCTTAGCTACTCTCCACTGGCTTCCTGTAACTTTCAGAATTGATTTGAAGGTGCTCCCCCTCCACATCCATGGAGAAGCAGTGGAGAGCGTGCAAGACCTACGGTTCCTTGGAGTCAACATCTCCAATAAATTAACATGGACCTCAAACACCTCAAACCTGTTGAAAAAGGCACAGCAGAGACTGTTTTTCCTGAGGAAACTAAGACAGGCCAGGCTTCCACAAAAACTGCTGGTAAACTTCTATCGGTCGACCATTGAAAGCACCCTGTCCAGCTGCATAACTGTGTGGTACACCAGCTGCACAGCCGCGGAGCGGAGGGACCTGCAACGGGTGGTGAAAGCTGCTCAGCGCATCGTTGGGACTGAGCTGCCCAACCTTGATAACATCTACAAAAGTCGACTGCAGAAGAAAGCCAGCAGTATCATCAGAGACATCACACACCCCGGCCACTCACTGTTCGAACCGCTGCCATCCGGCAGACGGTTCAGGTCAATAAAAGCACGCACCAACAGACTGAAGAACAGCTTCTTTCCCAGAGCTGTGGCCTCCATCACTCCCATCCCTGTCCAACCACTAAACGCACTATAACATGCACACATACAAACACACTACTTCCCATCAAAGACTGCAGCCTAAAATACCATGTTATTTATTTGTATATTTATTAAGTATCAACTGATATTTTTTTTAGTAACTATTTATATTTAAACATTGTAGCTTTATATATTTTAACATTCTGGTAAAGTGCATATGATGACCCTGATTATTATTGCTACTATCTCTGCTTTATCACTGTTTTTATGGATGTGTTTTTATTTATGTTATGTATTGCATTGAGAGATGCCAACTGAATTTCGTTGCACTGATGTGTGATGACAATAAAGATATATTCTATATTCTATTTTCTATTCTCCTCATATACAAAGCTCTAAATGGACAAGGACCCAGCAACATTGCTGACTCTCTAATAAACTACACACCCGCCAGAACACTGTGATCATCAGATGCAGCTCTATTAGAGGTCACCAGAAAGAGTCATAAGAAGATCGGTGATGCAGCCTTTGTAAACTACGCCCCAAAACTGTGGAACACGTTACCCAACAATATTAGGGAAGCTAATACGTTAGACATTTTTAAAAGGCAGCTTTAAACCTATCTCTTTACCAAAGCATTTGACTGACTTTACACTATTATACTGCACTATTCTCTGTGATTGACATTGCACTATTTCTCTATGTTTTATTCCCCATGTTTTTATTTTTAATTATTTTATGCTTTGCTCTTGCTGCTTGTAAGTGTCCCAGTTGTTAGACAGGAGGGAAACAAAGTATTGCTGTGGAGGCATCAGCAAAACATGTTTTAGCCAACTAAGCAAAGCAAAAAAAATGCTACCTCTAGATTTAGAACATTTGCACTTCTTTATCTTGACAGCCTTTTCTGATGGAGACTCAAGCCGTTATAAGTTATAGACTTTGTCCTCACAAAGGTGTAAAAGGAAGCTGAAAAGCTGTGTAAAAGCATCTAGTCAAATCAAAACCCTGCAAACACCTCCAGCTAAACTTTGGTGAATGATAGCAAAGTTTTATCCAGAGTAAGCTTTTTAGCCTGTTTTTGTTTCATCATTACACTAAGAAATGCAACATCAATACAGTTGTGGATATTCACATAGCATTTTACTCATGTACAGTAGGCTACTCTCTGTTTATGCTACGTTATACTTCCAATCCACTACATTTTAAAAGCCAATATTGTACATATATAACTACATTCATTTCACCACTTTACTATTTAGATTTATATTAGTAGCTAATACAAAATACAAATGCTCAAGATGATCAGAGGTGCAGTACTCAGATATAGTACTTCAGTAAAATAGAGTACAAGAGTGTAGGAATACTCTGTTACAAGTAAAAGTCCTGCATTCAAAATGTTACTCAAATAAAAGTACACAAGTATTAGCAACAAAATATGACTTACTTAGTATAAGTAGCGACAGTAAAAGTAGTCATTGTGCAGATCTGATCCAGATCTCTGTAAAGTAACTAAAGGTATTACGTACATGTAGTGGTGTAAACGTAGTTGATTTACCTCTTATTGTAATGGGTAGAAGTACAAAGTAGCAAAAAAATATATTAAGTAAATTACTATTATCTTAAAATGTTACCTAAGTACATTAGCCTACTTGAGTAAATGCACTCAGTTACTTTACACCACTGCAGAAAGCCAACATTAGCAGGATGACCCAGCCGCCCAGATGATGCACGCGCTGCTCATCGCGTTGCTCCTCCTCGAGCTTTCGATTGAAGAGCGTAAAGGGACTTCAACCGGAAACCAAACTTTTTCTTCGAACTTTTTTTTCCTCTGAAGCAAAAGAGGAAAAAGGCACGAGAGTGATAAACGCCACGGTTCCTTATTTCCTTCATTTACTTGTGCTGTTGGAGATGTGTCAGCTGCCGACCTACAGGGGAGAAGTAAAGCGTTTGTGGCGAGGATAAGGGCGACGGCGAGTGATTTTAGGCTGCTCCCCTCACATAACGGATTGTGGTCCTTTATCATGGAAGATGTGAGTACTCCCTTCACTCCCACCGTGTGGGCTGGCAGCCCTTTTACCGCCTTTGCAACGCAGTTTTGTCGTGTTGAGATATTTAAGCGAGACTTCAGTAGGCATTAATGTGATGTTATAAAACTGTAGAACAATAACGTTACTGCAAGGGCGCGACCGACTTATTAAAGCAGCCAGGGCCCATAGAAAAGTTGTGTACTCGAACCGCTATTTTCTGGATATGTTAAAATTACTTCTAAGAAACAGTTATGTTAAGATAGATTCCAGTCTGTCTGCTGCCGAAAACTTAAGTCAACAGTATTTGGCACAAAGCACCTGCCCACCTGTCAATCTGTTTCCTCTACTTGTTGGTCAGAGCCCATAAGAAACACTACTGTAGAGCACCGAACTCCCTTTAAAAGTGTTACATTTAATTTGTTCGCTATATGTGGGTGTTAACATATAACTTTCAAAGCATAAAATCAGTCCTTGTCTGAGTCAGATTGCTCCTGCGGTGAATTCGGCATCATTACAATATCCATTTAGCACATGGTGTGAATTGCATTTCAAGATAACTGTTCATTTCGGCAGGGGAGGTTTTAGGGAATTACAAATGGTCAACAAATGAAATATAGCTGTTGGATTGTATCTTTGCCGAATTTGCTGTGATAGCGGTATGTGTCAGAACAAATGTTAACAAACGCTTAATAACGTGTCTTGTTTTCACAATAATAAAGTTACATTTTATTTTCCATATCTATGAACGAGGTTTGGCGGGCCGTTGTCAACAGGGTAAAAGAACATCTTTAACTTTCCTCACAAGGCAGACCTTTGTTACTTGATTGATTTGTAGTATCTTAATTATATTCATTTATTAATGTAATCTTCAAACTGAATTAATCAACTACATACTGTTTACTACCTCAATGTAAATGTCATGTGGCATTTTGAGGAAGCAAAGCTTGTTAGAAAAAGGAAGTCAAGTATATCACCTACTCTAAGTAAGGAACTTGCAAACAAGCATGCGTACACCGCTCTTTCCAGTGTAGCATTGCTCAAAAACGGCCTTCCCTTCTCCATCTAGAATCTGATCATTAAATGCAGCTTTTCTTGAACTTTCCTTTTTTCCCTAGAATCACTCTCCAGTTCAGACTATTAAGTCTAACTATAAACCATGAAACAGCCTCAACCCACATTTAGACAAAAAATACCTTCCCCCTTATTGTCACATGCATCTTCCACTATAAACTGTGTGTTGGCATGTAGTGAATACAGTGAGACTATTACAACTGTGACTTCATCAAAGTGAAATGTTGAAGTCAAACGAAGTAGTGCTTTAGCTACAAATAGAGCATGTTTAAACAGTTTCAACCAGGTATAGACATTAAGAAATGCACTGGTCATATTTCCAGATTCGTAATTGATTTGCCAGAATCTCTTCTTAAACAGGAACAACAGAAGCATGAGGTCACTGTCATGGGTTGGGGTGTGATGACTTATAAAGGTTGCATCTTTCATTACTTCTTGCATTGAATCAGTCCAGTTTTTAGTGGATGGCTTTGTGTCAGGATTGTGATCTGACTTCTGCAGCAGATGGTGCCGGGACTCCTGCATTGCAATACCTTTTTAATCAACCTTTGCTTTTTAATCAACCTGTGTCAGCCTTTAGATAAAAAATAATCACTTTATGACATTTTAAATATTTAATAAACATCATTATCATTTTATATTGTGACATCTGAAGTCTTGGATTTAGATCTAAGACTCTTCAATCATAAAAAACAGATTAGTTTGTTTGACAAAGTTATGTAAAAGGTTTTATTATATGGCAATGTTAGTGATATTTTATTAAGACAGGGTGAATCATTAACCTTAAACCCTTACAAGCTTTATGGACATCTTGTGAGGTGCGAAAATGATGTTCAGTGTGATTGGTGAATCCAGATGGGCAAGGCCAATATTACTTAAAGTGCATGAAAGTGATCCAGTAGAATATGTAACAAGAGTATGTCCTCATTAAAAACTGTTTATTCGAGTCCGTCAGGCGAAATGTATTTTATTTTGCTAAAGTAGAGCATTATCACTATGAAGTGAAAATGCTCTTATTGCTTAGGAATTTGGACAACGTTGTATATGTAAGTGTCCCAGTTGTCAGACAGGAGGGAAACAAAGTATTGCTGTGGAGGCATCAGCAAAACATGTTTTAGCCAACTAAGCAAAGCAAAAAAAATGCTAACGCTAGATTTAGAACATTTGCACTTCTTTATCTTGACAGCCTTTTCTGATGGAGACTCAAGCCGTTATAACCATCTCTGCTCTCCCTGAAGCCAACACACTCCATTTCAAATGTATGATTTTAACCCGAGAACACTGGAGTTGCAAACTAACTATCCAATCAATGTGTTGCCTTTGGCCGGAGCATAGATAACTGCTTAATTTTCCGATAAGAAACATAGACTGTCCGGCAGCAAAATAAAGTGGTAAAATATTTGAAATATAATGTAAACTTTTGCTGCTGCAGTACAATGCTTACTTTCTCTTCAGTAACTCCTTTCTGTTTTCCAAACTGGGGTTATACCGAACGCCACCTACTGTAGATAATACACTTACTATGGATAAGTATCTCAACCACTCTTCAAAACTTTCAAAAATATTCCTTTAAATTGCCTACAGTAAATAAATGTGGGCTTGCTGACATTTTTTTTATTCAATAGATTACCGGAGTAAGACGGCAAGAAAAACGATGTACCGTGGTAATACTAGAAAAATGTGTTTAGGAGCTGTAGTGTATCGTTTTTTATGTACTAAAGCTGAACTGAAACTAGTGCTCGGTGTTTACGACTCACACTCACAACACCCACCACTTGGCTGGCTGCCATCTGTTCCTTTATATGTTGTTCCTCTTCGCTCTACTTCACATTCTGCCTTATCTTTTTCATCTTTCACCCCAAAAACCGCTGCTGTCCTTGCCTGTCTCAGTGCTGTGACTCATCCTTTTATCGCCTTCCCACTGACCTAGAGTGCAGAGTGTGACGTGTCTGCCTGACCCATTCAGAAAAGAGGAAACAGACTGCCACATTATGTGTCAGGCACAAAACAATTAACCCTCTCTCATCATCGTCCTGCCATCCAGGCCTCTGCTACACAATGGATGTGTGTGTGCATGATCTTACTGGGGCACCGCGGACAATTTCTGGGAAAGGGCCTTTTTTGAAAAAGAGTATAATGAATGCATGTGTATGTTCTTGAAATGTTGTGACAGAAAGTCCTCAAAAGATGGAAAAATGCTCTTTTGGAAGGCATTTCGCTCGTTGGTACTAACTAAAAAGGGGGTTGAAGAAGAAGAAGAAGAAGATATACTTTATTAACCCCTTACAGGGACATTTCTTTCCCCACTCTGTTGTGTTTACACACATTACACACACAGGGGAGGATATACATGCACACACACAGAGGATATACATGCACACACACAGAGGATATACATGCACACACACAACCACATGCAGATAGGCAGGGCCGGCCTGTAGCGCTGGCGTTATAAATGTTCGCCTAGGGCGCCAGATCTGGGGAGGTGCTGCACTGGCAGCTCTGGGAGGGGGAAAAACATTTTTGACCGTTGGTGCTCATCCTAATTTTCGGCCTTGATATAACAATATTCATAATTAAGTAAATGTAACACCCCGGTTACACGTTTCATTTGCCCTGTACGATGGGCGCTGTAAGTGATGAAAATGGGGGATGTTGGTTTATCTGGCACCCGCAGCTCACAGCCAAAATGCGAGTGAGCGAGGGAGAGAGGGAGAAAGGGAGGACGCACCGGTACTGGCACTGTTATTATTAGAATCTGGTGCTAGCTGCTCTAACGGATATAAGAAGAAGATGTTTCTACAATGATGTGGAGGAGAGTCCTCTCCAGTCAGACTGAGAGGCTGATAACTACAGCTCAGTGAGGTAAAGGACTCTCTCAGTGTTTAGATAGTTCACTTTAGTCTAAGTTATCTGAAGCTCAAACGTTTTGATCACAATTTAAGTAAACACATATTTCCAAGGCACTCCTTTATAATTATTGGGATAAACAGGTTTGAAATCATTTCAAAATATCGTTTAAAACTGGAGAGATACAAAAATATGAATAAATAAATAAATGTTAACTAGGTAAAATAAGATATGAATCAACAACAAAAATAAAATAAGTTACATTTATTTGTTATTGGTTATGTTCACATACTTATTTGATTATTAAAATGTAAACCGATCTTTTTCATATGGGTGTTTAGAGTTGTACCCCCCAGATCTAGTCTCTAATTCTGCTCAAAGTGCACCAGATTGAAGCATTTCAAACATTTCTTCCCGGGGCGGCATATCCCCGGACCCCCCTAGAGGATGTGACGTCCATCCCCTATTCTATTGTGTATTCCTTGGATACTCTATTGATCTTTATCTTTCTATTGTACGATTCTCTGGCTCCACTCTCAATTCCAAATATTTCATAATTCACTGCTGAACTTTCGATGCCCAACCAATGAGGAGACAGCTATATGTAGCGGAGCAAGCTAGCAGGGAACGTTACCTTAATTTAATTTAATTTCAAACCTTTATTTACCCATGTATCCCATTGAGATCATTGATCTCTTTTTCAAGGGAGACCTGCTCAAGTAGGTTCCACATGAAACATAAAAACATAAACAGAACAACAAAAAGGACATCTTACAGCATCATTACAGGGATTACAATTTACAATAACTATCCACATGAGCAGGTACCAACAGCTTCCGATTGAGTAGCATCCAACCGAGCTTTAAAAACATTTAGTGGCACCAGATTGTTTAGTTTCCATTTCAATTGCAGACTATTCCAAGACAGAGGAGCTGCGCATCTAAAAGCTATCTTCCCTAAGACAGTCCTAGCAGTTGGCACATTTAATAAAACCACAGCATGCGATCTCAGGCAGTAGCCACTTACAATTCGCCGTGAGATCAGGGAGCAGATATAAGATGGAAGTTTCCCTAACATGGCTT